ACCCGTGCACCCGTGGCAAATTGCGGCGAAACTTGTATCAGGCTGCATCCGGAATCACCCGGGTCTGGCTCAAAAGAGGCAGCCGCGCGAGGAGGAGGAGGAGGAGGAGGAGGAGGAAGGACCAGGAGAGGAGGGGGAGAAAGAGGATACGAAACCAACCCTGAATCAAATCATGCTGGTTGGGGGTGTCGCCATATATGCCGCCAAGGCATGCCAGCGATCCAGTGGCGCACAACAAATACAGATGCCACAATACACATTAAACAATGCAAAGGATGATTGAATAGAGAGAGCGAGAGAGAGAGAGAGACACAGAGAGAACACGAACGCATTTTTTTGAGGCGCTCACAGACACTGTGAGAAACAGCAACAAGCCGTAAGCTGAGCTGCACTGCTCGATCTGAGCAGTGCAAGGGAGACAATGCAGACTCGTATCACGCCTCGACGTCAGCGGCCACCCCTTGACCCTGTCATTCAGCAGCGGCTATTTTCCATGTCTTGCCTGTGGCAGCAAACCAAACAACACGCCATGAGCGAAGAAGGCGACCCGTTACACAACTTGGAAATGGAACGTGTGACTTCCCGAATATTCTACCACTCAGATAAAATGGTGGCGGAGGCCATCACTCCAGAAGTGGATTCCACTCATATGTTCCCCATGGTGCTCTAGGCGCTCTCTCTCCCTGCAATATTATTCAGGCTACTGGTTCTTTTTCTGAGTGCAGGCGCGTCGCCATCACATGCGGCATCCATCACTGACTCGTCGATCGTGTGCAGACTTCTCGAGACCTTCTGCGGCGCGCTCTGCCAAGGCATGCGAAGCCTCGACACCCCAGTCAACTTCATGTAAACGATCGGATTGAAATAGTCCGAGGCTTCGCTCGAATCACATGGCTCAACCACGGGGTCATTGGCCACAAGCTCTGCACTCTCCGCCATCAAGAACGTATATCCGTTGCTGGAAAAACGCATGGGCCCGAGTCCGATGCCCGCCACCGCCTCCTCGCCATCCCCGTGCCATCTCTCATTTACGAGCTCCTCGGATTTCCGCACGATGTGGTCCAGAGATTCCTTCGGCAGCCAGTTCTTCAGGCGGGGCTGCTGGTGCCCGGCCTCGAAGCGCAGCAGCATGTCCTCGACGCGCAGGCCCCTGGTCGCGGAAACCACCCGCAGGCAGACGGACGAGACGCAGGTCGCGGCTGGCGCGCAGCTTCCCGCGGACGAGGAGGACGCCCTCGAGGACGACGAAATGGAGCTGCGGGACTTCTGGCCTCGGGTTATGTTGCTCTCATCCTACTTAAGGACCACATCCCAAAAATGATTTCGAGCGCCCAGAAAAAAATCGCCTCCCAGGGCCCGACACATGCAGCCCCTCCAATTCCGATACTTTCCTGGTGCTCGAAATTCTTTCTGGTGATCAAGGCTACAGTAGGTTGGAACATCATAAGCCTCGGGCCACATCCGCGAGTGCCTTGTTGCGCGCCAGCTGCCAGTGGGCCGTCGCCGAGGCAGGCGACCGGACCTGCTCGACTGCCAGCGGCGCCAACGTCGGGGCCAACGCCCTCGGGCCCAACCGGGCAGCGCCGACCTGGGCTGCGTCGGGGCCGGGCTCGGGTGCCACCTCGGACACCGCGATCAGCTGCAGCGCCACAGCGCCAGGGGCGTCCGTGCAGGCCTCCCGAGGCAGCGACTCGCAGGTCGGCGGCGAGCGAGGGGGGAAAGTGAGAAGGCGAAGACCTCCTCAGAAGGCGGCGGGACTTTTCTGAAATCCTCGCGCCTTCTGAGAATGTTTGCGTCTTCGGGGAAAGTTTAGACAATTCTCGGAAGGCCGGGAGACTTTCAAGCCTTCTGAGAAGGCCTTCTCCTTCTCACCTCCCCCCCTCGCTCGCCGCCGAGAAGGTCTCCCGGATCCCCATCAGGAACTCGGGGGCGCCCTCGACGTCGGCGACGCAGGTCAGGAACAGCTCTACGGGGATCGGGCGCGCACTGCCCCCCTTGTGCAGGGACACGTGGATGGAGGCGGCGGGGCGGAGGGCGAACCGGTGCGAGCTGGGGTCCTCGGCCATCGAGACGGCGGCGCCGTTGGACGAGAGCCAGTCCTGGAAGCGCTGCTGGTCGGACTCCCCCACGTACCGAAGGAAATTCGATCCAGCAAGCGTGCTCGTTGTTGTACCCCCTGTCCCATCTTCCGAGCCCCCCAGCAAGTGCAACAGGGGCGGAGAATGGGAGATGATGTTACACGATTGGCAGATGTGCAAGTGGGCGTCGCAGAACACACCGAGCAGTCTTTGGACTGCCCGATGCGCCCTGCTAGACTGGCTGGACTCTGTGGATGCCTTAACGCGCTCCTTCTCGCCAAGCTCCAGGAAAATGGAGGCAGAGCAGATCAACATACATATACCAACCTCTATAAGAAAATGATGGACGAAAACTGCCATGGAAGATATTCCGTCAATGCAAAGCTCCTCGCGCCGCCTCCAGAAAGTGAAGCACGTCACTGCAGAAAGGAAAGCGTTCCATCTCACGGTCGTCTTGCAATCTAGTAGCAAAGCCACGAGACACCCTCGTGCTGCGCTCAAAATTCCGCCGTACATGAGAATTCGCTGTGTGTCCGCTAAGTGCGTACGAACTGCAAGGAACAACATAAACATTTTGTATAACAGCTCTATTTCAACAGTGGTAAATCCACAAGACTTTCTCAAGTACTTCCAGTACAAAGTTGCCCAGTGACGTGCAAGCATGAACGCCGCTCTGAAAACAACATCCCAGTCGGAGGCACTTGTAGCATGAACGCAAATCACCAGCGGCAACAATATAACCGAGAAGGGTATAAAAACTGCGTCCGACACATACTGAGCTCGCGTGACTCTCGCATGGTTGAATTCGTTTAGAACTCTGGCATCAAAGGACGCGCCAGCATCAGGGAGTACGAAAAGCGATTCGAGCGCTCTCTTCAATTTGGCCAGCGAGGCTAAACAATCGTCATAACCAAACCATGCATGAGCTGCCAAAGTACAGCAGCTTACCGAAACGCAGCTACGCACAAAGAGAGTGGCGAAGTACTCTTTCTGTTCCGCCTCGAGGGAGAACGACATCATATACATATATATATATATATATATATACCAGAAACCTCCAGCACGGGCTTATTTGACGGATCTGGAATGCTCTCGATGTCAGCTGAGCCCGACCGCGCCCGATGGACCGTCCGACAAGATGCGGAACTCCAGCACGCGCACCCGCGGCTGTGCCACAATCCCTTGAGCCAGAGCGGCCGCAGAAGGAGTGAGATACCAAGGAAACGCTAATGGCGATATTGGTTAACGGTGATGACGCGACGTCGGGACCCTGGTCTTTGCGACGCTGGTCTGGCTAGCCGTCTCCATCCACGTCCGCGATGAGCTTGCTTTGCTTCGCTTCGCTCTGCTCAACGTCTGGCTATCCATCCTCGTGCTCATCAACGATCCCGAACGGTTAACGAGATTGGAGAGAGCGTGATCCACCGCCGCTTTACTGTGGAAAATTGCCAACCTTTTCCTCCAAGTTACCGTAGGCTCCCCCCCCCCCTCCGAAAATCCCCCCCCTCCCTGCAGAACCCCTCCCCCCCCCCCTCCCCCGCAAAAAACCCCCCCTCCCCTAACCCTCTCCCTCCTACCCCCCCCCCCACCGCTCCTCGAAACCCGTGGGGGTCGCTCCGGTTCGAACCCCACGCGCCCCCCCCTCCGGATCCGGAAAACCGAGGGGGGTCACTACCGGTTCGAACCCCCCCCCCCTCGAAAACCGGAGGGGGATCACTCTCGGTTCGAACCCCTCCCCACGCCCCACTCACCGCCAGCAAACGACTCCCGGTCCCTACCACCGTCCGCATCACATCCTCCACTGTTGCTCCCAGCACCACTGTCCTCACCACCACTGCCCCCACTGTGTCCCCACCAGTGCCCCCACCACTGTCGCACTGTCCCCACTGTCCCCACCACTGTTCCCACCACGGTTCCACTCTCCCCACTGTCTCCACGGCCCCAACCACTGCCCGACTATCCCCACTGTCCCCACTGTCCCACTGACTCCGCCGCTGTCCCACTGAGCTGTCCCACTGTTCCCACCACTGTCCCCACTGTCCCCACCACTGTCCCCACTGTACCTCTGTCCCATTGTCCCACCGCCGTCCTCGCCACCGCCTTCACCACTGTCCCCACCACCATTGTACCCTCCACTGTCCCACTGTTTTCACCTCATTCCCACTGTGCCCACACCACTGTCCCCACCACCACCGTCCCCACCACTGTCCACTGTCCCCCCTGTTCCCACCATTGTCCCCACCACAGTCCCCACCACTGTCCCCACCACTACCGGCCCTCTACTGTCCCACTGTCCCACTGTCCCCACCACTGTCCCGCTGTCCCCTCACCACTGTCCCACCAACACCGCCCCCACCTCTGTCCGCACCCCCACTCGGTTTTCGAGGGGGGGGGGGGTTCGAACCGGTAGTGACCCCCCCCCCTTTTCATGATGAGCTGGGGGGGGGGGGGAGGGGTTCGACCGGTAGTGTGACCCCCCCCCCGGGGGGGCCCCCCGGTTTTCCGGGAGGGGGGGGGGGGAGGGGTTCGAACCGGTAGTGACCCCCCCCGGTTTTCCGCCAGCAGCGGTAGAACACGCTCTTTCCGAGATTGGGAACCTGGTCTTTGCGACGCCGAACTCGCGCAGCACAAATCACACGCGTTCCTACAAGTCGTCTGGCCACGAACCCACCCCACATACAACACCGAAAACCACATCGCCGTTACCCACGTCGCCGTCAGCGTGTCTATGGAGATGCCCAAGCCGGAGCCCGGGGGCGGCGCCACCGCCGGTGGCGGGGCGCGGTCCCCTGCCGGGAGGGCCAGAAGCGCGCTGGGAATTCACGACTTCTTGACTTTTTAGTTGTCGTTGGGGCTGGAGCACTAAACCGGTCAACGCCTAAACGGGGTAACAGACCCACCATGGGATCCAGGTGGAAAAACTGAAACGATCAGAACAAACAAATGCACTGCATTTTTCTGCAACGCAACAAAACAAACCAAAAACTGCACTGCAATTTGTTGGCAACTAGTTGCGGAAAAACAGCAAACAAGCCCCACAGACCGGGTAATAGAGGGCCCAAAACAAAAAGTTTGCAGTGCAGCAGCCGAAAATGTGCAACGCAGCCAGCATGTGGAAGGTGCTGCATCGAACGCGAAAGCCAGAAAAAACTGCACTGCAACAAAAGGGCTATTTGATGCCTCGAACCAGCCGTTTCCTGTTACCCCGTCTGCTGTTCCCCCGTCTCTGGCTCCCTGAGGCTTCCCATGTTTTTTGACTCTGGCTATGCCTTGCGTGGCCGGATTCTTCCACACCTTTAACTACTTTCTCGCGCTTCACGCGAGGGCGGCGAGGCGTCGTACAGCCTGCTCGCCTTCAACACCTACCATGACAGAAGCGCGCGGAGGTACGAGGACTGGAGGAAGAGGAGGAGGAGCTGAAGAACGAAGAGCGGTGTCCGGGTCTGGCTCCGAAGGGCACGCCTGCAGGGCCAAAGCACGGAGCATCGAAAGCCGACCCCTCCCCTCCTGGTCACGCATCTGGGGCCAAACCACGGTGCAACGCGGGCAAGGAAACCTATCCGGGTCGTACTGGCAGGGCCTCGACTTCGATGACTTTGGCTTCTTGAAGAGCGTCTGCACCAGCTCCAGCCGTCCTTGGGCCGTCTCGGAGCCTCTCGGACCCTTGGGGCATACCCTGGGATCGCTACTCTAGGAACCCTGGGAGCGGGCTCCCAGGGTTTTTCGGGAGGTCCCCCTGCGCGCACCTGGGCGGCCCAAGAATCCCAAACAACCGATCTATAAGTTTAAAAAGTTTGGCTTCGGGAGCGCGAGTCGAGCGTAATCTAACACGGATTCTGGCCTTGCAGGCACGAGCTGCGCGTAGTGTGACAAGGATTTTGGCGTCGGAGGCGCGCATCTTGCGCAATTTACGCAAAGTATGCCGGCCCCGGGAGCGTGAATTTAGCGCCATGTACATGCGAATCTAGTTTCGGGAGAGCGAGTCCGATCTAATTCTAAAAAGGGTTCTTCGGTCAGAACTGCGAGTCTTGCTAACATACAAAGAAACAGTATGATCGCCCTGGGATTGCGAATCTTGGGTAACGTACAAAGGATTATGGTTTCGGGGGCGCGAGCTTAGCAGAATTTGCGAGGACTCTCGCCTCGGGACCGCGAGTGTAACATAACCTCGAGAACAGCATGTCGGTAGAATTTACAACGCATTCTGGCTTCGGGAGCGCGACACTTCTTTGACTTGCAATAGAGCGCGAAAAAAACAAAACGGGAGAGAGAGAGACGGTTAGAGACAAAGAGAGAGAGAGAGAGATCCTGCACGATACTGTAGGATCCTCGAGGGTTCCTGGAGATTATGGTAGGATCCCCTGTGAAATCGCTGCGATCCCTAGTGATTCCAAGGGCGATCCCTGGATCATTTTCGCATCCCTGGGAGTCGATTCCAAATCATTCTGAATGTGATCCCAGGATCGCATTTCGTCGATGATTATCTGGGAATCAAGTCCCAGCGATTCCAAGGGTGATCCCAGGGGGCGCGCGGTGGGCCAGGATCCTCAATATTCTGCCATCATCTTACTGGGTGATGTTCATGATGAAGAGCACGTTGATGAGGACTGTGTTCATGATGGCAATGGGAGGCGGAACAGCGGGATGGGGGGAGCGGATGGAAGGAAGTCCTACGAGGCGATTGTGGCCCAGGACCGTTCCCCGCGCTCCCCAGCGCAATCTTGGAGCCTGGGGGGGGAGATCTCCCCCCCTTCCCCTGCCTCTGTTTCGCGGTTGCAAGTTCGGCTGATATTGGGCGCCGAAGCTTCTTATGCTGTCTCCGAGGCACTGAAACGCAACAATCATGATACGTAAGTTCTCAAGCTGGGCTTGCATCTGCAGTAGGGCATCTTGGCTCACAGTTCATACGACTGGTTGGTCAACCGAAGGTTCTTGTCGTCGCCGCCCGTTGCCGCCTTGACGCCGCCAGCTGCGTGGGCATGTCGGACTCGTGGCCGCCTCGACGCCGCGTTGCGCCGCCGACTTGAAAAAGTTCGGTCGAAGCTTCGCCGCGTCGCAGCCCGTGGCCGCCGCGTCGCCGCCCGTGGCCGCCTCGCGGCCGCCTCGTGGTCGCCTCGTCGCCGCCAACATGGGGCGTGAGTGTCGACGTTTCGCCGCGTCTCCGCCCGTGGCCGCCACGCTCATCACACCGCACGCCTCGCACCGCATAGCTTTCACGGCATGGCTTGCACGGCATAGCGTTCACTTCCACGCTGCGTCAAGCCGCTGTTTAGGACATGTTTGACATCGAACGATGCTGCGCGATGGTGTGGTGGGCGGCTCCGCCACCATACGTTTTTTGTCGGTGGCGGCTCGGCGACGGCCGCAGGGGGAGAGGTGACTCGCTCGGATCTTCTCTCCCTCCCCGCAGGCTCTGAGGCCCCTCCAGGCCCCCAATCGCGCGCAGCCACCCACGGGGGCTGGATAAACCTGTGCCCGCGGGAAGGAAGGCGGGCGGCTTGGCCTTTGGGCCCCGCCAGCGAAACATCGACGACTACGATCGCCACCACTGCCGCTACTGCCAGAAGCGGGGCCGAAAGGAGGGGGGAACGGGCCGAGCACTCCAGGAGGACGGCTGCACCGAACGCGTTCGCATAATCGTCCTCCTCCTCCTCCTCTTCCGCCTCCTCGTCCTCCTGATCCTCCCCCTCCTGCTCCTCCTCCTCCTCCTCCTCCTCCTCCTCCTCCTCCTCCTCCTCCTACTGCTCCTCCTCATCCTGACCCTCGTCCTCAGCACCACTACCACCACCATCATCGGCATCCTCATCCTCATCCTCCTCACCATCATCATCATCATCATCAGCATCATCATCATCATCATCATCAGCAGCAGCATCATCAACACCATCATCAGCATCATCATCAGCATCATTGTCATCATCATCATCATCATCATCAGCATCATCAGCATCATCATCATCATCATCATCATCATCATCATCATCATCATCATCATCATCATCATCATCAGCATCGTCATCATCATCATCATCAGCATCGTCATCAGCATCATCAGCATCAGCATCAGCACCAACATCATCATCAGCATCACCATCATCCTCGTCATCGTCAGCATCAGCATCAGCATCATCAGCAATATCACCATCGTCTTCATAATCATCAGCATCATCAACATCAGAATCACCGTCAT